CCCAAAACCCCAAAACCCCAAAACCCCAAAACCCCGTTAAAAAATAAAAATATTGATAATATATTATGGATCAACAGAAAAAACAAGGTAATTAATATAAAATAAGAGTCTGAAAGTCATCATCAACCCAGCCTCCGCCCTCTTTTCAACTAAATTTTCAATACTGAGTTAATTTAGACCCAAACATAGCTATTAAGGACTCCGATATGAGTAATGAAGAAGAAAGTAAAGACAAGTTAAAGGTAATAGCCAATTTCATTGGGTTAATTATTGTATTTCCCTCATTATTTTCCTTCAATTTTGTTGGCAGTAAAGTTTTTATCTAGGCAATCATGAAATCAGCAAGCAGCAAAGAAATTGATTCCTTCAGCCAAGATAATCCCAGTTCAAATGCTTGAGTAAAGGATGAAATTTCAGCTAATGTTGACCATTCCAGCACGAGTCCAGTAAAGCAAGAGCTTGAAAATACTCTCCAAAATATCTGCAATATGCTACAAATGAAAACCAGCCACGAAGAAATCAAGGAGAAGGTAGAAGACTTTATTGACAAGATGAAAGAAGTGGAATCAATCCGAGAAAGCCAGCTTCCTGTGACCCCCTCTCCGCCATCATCTTCTTATAAAGACAGTGAAAGCTGAGGTTTGAGTTCTAGGCCATCCGATGTTTTCAGAATAGACTCTGATATCAATATAAAGACAGGGAAATCATCTGAAGAGTTCACCTCTGAGATGGACTCGACATTCAAAAACCCAAGTAGAAGCCAAAAATTAGGGGGGTCTGGCCACCCTCAGTCAAGTAACAACACTCCTGTCAAAATTCACCAAGAGAAAAACCAGGAATATTCCGAAGTATTGGGTGAACTTATAGATGAAATCAAAAACTGTGAAGATTCTGGACTGAAGTGCCCCACTCCGATGAACACTTCTGACAAAAGTTCCAGTCAGATCCAGCCTCAAGAGCAAGAGCCTAATTTTGAAAAGTACGATGAAGTATTAAATTATAGCTGTAACGAGAATACTGGAAATTTACAAGACTCTACCTTAGTGGGAATAATCAATCAGATAGATAAAGATAGGATCAGAGACATTGAAAAGAGACGCCCTAAGAATGCAACATCTGGGGGACAGAAACTAGTGATGACCCTTCTAACTGTCTGATGCATTCTTCTCCTATATTTAGTAATAAGTTCAAGAATGACACCAGTTACTCAAAATTTAGTATCGAAGGAGATAGGAAAAACTGTTTGAGATACCAGTCATTATCAGTCGACCCTTGACTTTCTTGTTGAACAGAATCTCAATATGTCAACTAAAGTAACTACCTATTTTGTGTAGATATTGTTATTTTTTAACAGTGTCTAGATTCACTAAATCTGTCTTTTTGCCTAAAATCCTTCTATATAGCAGAGTTAAAGGCAGAACTGGCCAGAGTGGAGGAAGACAAGATGGCTCTGGTTCAAACCATGAACAGACACATAGAGTTAATATCAGCAGAAGTTGGATAATTTATATAAAAAAGCAGTGTAATATCTCAAAATTCAACAAAATTACAACTTGTGGATACTCGTTTTAGCAGGGTTTAGAACTTCAATTGACATAAGGAAAGGAGGGAGCCCTAAAGCTACTTTAATCCACCTCTTAATTTAATTGAGAAGAGTTAGTTAGAAGAGGTATATTACTGATCTTCAATTTTTAGAAAAATAGGTGGGGTTTTGGGGTTTTGGGGTTTTGGGGTTTTGGGG